AGAGGAGAACCTATCAGTCCTAACAGAAAAGGTCCTGTCTGATAAGTAGGAAGAAAACCAGTCTAAGGCGGTGACAGATATACCAGCCAGAACCTTCAGCCTGTTGAGTAGGATTTTGTGGTCGATGGTATCGAAGGCTGCGCTAAGATCTAGCAAAATGATCACGGAACAATTTCCTGCGTCAGATGCCATTAGTAGATCACTATAGACCCTTAAGAGTGCGGTCTCCGTAGAGTGCTGCTTTTGAAAGCCAGACCGAAAAGGGTCAAAAATCTGCAATCGGCATAGTAAGGACCTGAACTGATTTTCTACAATTTTTTCTAGTAATTTACTTATAAATGGCAATCTTGAAATAGGACGATAACTACTAGGGGAGGTAGGATCTAGATTCTGTTTTTTTTAACAGAGGGGTTACCTCAGCATGTTTAAAATAGGCCTTGCCTCAGTGAATTGTTGATGATGGATAGTAGTGTGGGACCAATGCTGGTGAGAGTCCCAGACAGGACAGAGGGAGGTAATATATCTAAGGAGCATGATGAGGATTTAATTTTACCTATTACTGCAATTAAGTCATTGAGTGTGATTGGAGAAAAAGAAGTAAATGACCCGGGACAACAAAGGGCATCTTCATAGGGGGAGGCACTTGAGGAGATTTTGGATCTCAAGTCCATCACCTTATTTACAAAGTAATTGAGGAAAGTGCTACAATCTTCGTCAGAAAGTAACACAGCATGCTGAGTTGGAGGAGAAACAATACTGTTGATAGTATCAAATAGAATTAATAGAATAAAATGGTCACTTTCATTCTTATTGTTTTACAGTACATTAAAAATAATTGCAATTGCAAGACTCATATAATGATAAAGAATAGATGTTAAATGCTCATAAAATTTCATCATCTTTGTCCAGTTCCACTGAAGCACATACAAACCAAACCACCTGACTGAATTTATCAAATATAACAAAATAATAGCACAACAAAACCCATTTTAATATTCACATTAAAAAGTACACAAATTGAATTTTTTCATGCATAACATCCACCATCCTACATTGACTGCTGCTTGCAGAGGTCAAAAAGTATATTATGCAATATTTTCTATATCATGATTAAAACCTATGTGTAGATGCAACCACAGAAATTGTGACACTTTGTGGTAAAATCTACACCTATAAAAAAAACCCATAATAATTTCCAATAATTTAAAACAAGATTATTTAGCTTGAATAATTTACATAACAAATAACCCCGAACTGAAGATCAAAGGGTTGTAGCATTCACTCTTAGCACAAAACTCTGATCTTGTGTTTAATTTGGACTATTCTGCCTCTATGTATTAAACATAAGAAGCCAAGTGGTCATAATCTGACAATAAATGACACAAACAATCGCAGTAGTTAAAAGCCTGGTTCACAGTTAAATGCTAGTTAAGAGAGTGCAGGCTAACTGTGTTGCTGTGTCAAAAATGGAAATGCATACATGCAATACATTATTTATTCCTTGTCATGTAGAGTATTACAAGTATCACATGCTCTGTTGAGTTTAAAGAATTATTTTCTAAAATAAAATAGAAAACTCACTAGATTGCTGATTGTTAAAAGGGAATGTGAGTTGGAACGTTTTAGAAAGCATAAGAAATAGAAAGGAATAGAATAAAATAGCAGACATGAGAGTCATGAAGCTCCTTGAAACTATTAGCGCACAATTTTATCCTGACTTGCTGATGAATCCTCACAGCTGACCTATTTACAGATTTAATACTTACACAAGATTAGTCACTTAAATTTCTGTCTCTTGTGCATTAATAGTCATCCAAAAGTACCATAAAAAACATGGACAAAATAAAAAATCCTTATATGAGAAAGATTTTTAAGACTGAACAGGTATGTGTTTTTTCATTTTTGGTAAATTTCACATCAAAGTCCTAGTAGTGTCATGTCAAGTGTAGGAGCCTCTCAACCGCCCTAATACATGTATACTTTCATGTTTAAATAAAATGGAAATCATGAACACTGATCTTTGTAACATTACAAAATGTTTTTTGTTTTCTTTGTGCAAAATGAGCAAAGAGATAGAGGAACAACCTCTCTTTTTAAGATAGATGCAGTTTTTAAAAACTACACAACTTTTAGGTATTGATTTATGGAAACACAGATAAGCACACATACACACACACATTATGGCCACCGCTACAGCTCCTTCTTCTCTTACTAAAAGTGCATCCGTTCTGGCTGGTGACAGTGTCTGTCAAGCAGATGAGAGGATTTGTTGCCACAGTGATGAAAACGTCAATCTCTCAGCTTTCACCTCGACACTTTAGCCTCCTTTGATGTGAACAGAAAGAGCTACGATTGCTACTTCTCTCTTTTCCACACACAAACTTTCTAAGAGAGGCACTTTGTCCGCCTCAGCATTACTTTACTTTACGTGACCCAGCGCCACGGTTTGTTGGCAGTTTTAATGAGCTTGGTTTATGTGGAGGCTGAGGTTACCTTTACTGGAACCTGGGCCACGTGTCTCACACCTCTGATGGGATCACATAACACTTTCAGATAACCCTCCTGACCCACATACGTCCACCAGCACTTTGGAGTTTTAATGCTCTGGTGGTGAAAATGAACTCAGCTGTTCCCACGCCTGCATTCGTGCTGTCAGATTTACAGTAGAGAAATGACTCACACGATATTATCACAAAGGATTAGTGAACAGAAGTGCTTTCCCCAAACATGTCAGAGTTGATTCCTCTTATGTGGCAACAGCAATATGAATCAGATTTCACCACCGTCCACTTGAGTTTTCTTGTCATGTTTTACTCCAGAAGGAAGGGAATTGTGTTGGTCGCTAGCAGAGACTTGAGTGAGTGCAGTAAGCAGCCGCTTAGCATGATACTGGACACAGGTAAAACACAAAACCCAATGTAAAACAACAACTTCCAATTACAGTCCTGTGCAAAAGTCTTGAGCCACCCCCTCATTTCTTTAAGCCAGATTTCTTTTAGTAGTAGTTGAACAATTGTTTTTATCTTTGGACATTGGCTGCTTTTTCACTTAATTTAGCCCTGTCCTTGTACCCGGTCATTTTCAGAGGAATTTTTAGTTTGTTTGTTAAGCCATTTAACAATGTGAATCGTTTGAGGTCAAAAGGGGCACCCACCCCAAGGAATAAACCAGTGTTGTGTCAAAACATAACAGACAACTTAGCAAAGAACTGATTTTAAATCGCGTGTTTAGGCAATTTGTTACTTACAACCTGTTGTTCCAAGCAGTTGATTGTTGTCATTTTCAATCTTTAGTATCTATGAGAAATGCCAAATATAATACAGTTTGACAGACATGAAATGTTATTTTGGCACCAACAAGGTGGATCCAAGAAAACTTGGCATTTCTCAGTATAGTGTTCAGTGTGTCTTTAAAAGACTTGGGAAACCGGATCGGTAGGGGGGAAAAGGAGAATTCACAGGCCTAGAAAACTCTATAGCAGATGAACAGTATCAGTATCATGTCATTTAAATGTATAAAAATTTACCAGCTACCTCAGACATGTAGTTGGCTCTTCAGTTCTGTTTACTCAAGTGTCATTGGAAATGTTCTCAGTGAAAGGATGGCTGCCGAGAAACAATTCTTAAAAGATGGGAAACAGGGAGAAGAATGGAAAAAGCTGGACACCTGGACTGAAAATCAGTGGCAACAGATATTATTGATGTACACAAATCCATTATGAATGTCAAAAGAGAGGTACACGGTGAGTATCTGTAGAAGTCCAGTCCTTGAGAGCTACTGTCCTGCAGCGTTTAGATGCATCCTTGTTCCAACACATCGGAATCAAATTAATGGCTTGTTACCAATCCTTTGCCAAACTTGATGGCAAGTTGAAGAGGTAATTCAGCTATTTAATTCAGCTGTGTTGGAGTAGGGATGCATCTAAAAGCTGCAGGACAGTTGGGGTGTCCAAATTCATAGGCTGCATCCTCCTGAGGACCCGGCCTTCGCGGTCTATGTTGGGCGGATAGACCGGAAGTGAGCAGCTGTGAAATTGGACGGTGTAGCCTTCAGTTTTGCGTCACCAGCTGTCTCGGTGGTGTTTAATAAATTCAGCCGTCTGCTCCTTGCTATATAAAATATAACAGGACACTGGCGTAAATTCTTGATCATCTCACACTTCTGTTTAATCAGTTTTCTTTTTGACGTTTATTCAGCTGTGTGAAAACTATAACTTTAATCTCAGCCAAACCGATTTACTCACGAACTAATAAAACACTGAAAAAAGCCAAACAAAACCATTAAATGAATTTGGACAGCATTTGTTGCGTCGCTGTGACGTAATCGGCCTACAAACGCGGCCTCGGGAGGGTGCAGCCAATTTGGACACCCCCTGTATCTTGAGGACTGGAGTTGGAGACCCCTGGTCTACAGCCATCTTTAAAACACAGTGGAACACTATGAGCCTTGGATTGGCCTCCCCAAAGATCGAAATGATCGACAGTGTGGACTAATCTTGACAGAACAGGACAAAATGCAGCCAAGATCCAAAGAAGAGCTTTAAATGTCTTAAAGACTAATTGAAGAAATTACAAGAAAGCTTGGCTAAGGCTGCGTTAAAGATGCTTTTGCGTATATTTTTTTTTACGTTTCAGTAAATCACTGCATCAATTTCCTATTTTCCTAGCAAAATATAAACAAATGTGAGCTTTACCTGCTCAGCTTTTGCCAATTTTGTCACATCCTAGCAAGCAGTGCAGTCTTTAAGCTGTGCACTGCTAGCTTAAACTAAGCTAAGCTAAACAGCTGCCAGATACAACATCATTATATTTAGCATACAAAAATGACACCAGAGTCAGTCTCGTTGTCTTATTATGGTCAAGCAGCATTTACGTTTTTACTAAATTACTTTCACAGCTTTTTTAACGTTCAATTTGACTAAAGCCCCTGACGACAACCCAAACATTTCTCATTTGGCTTGTTTTCACAAATGTCTTCACAGCAGCAGGTTTTGGTGCAGGATGTCACAGTCACTGACATTTTCCCCGAGCAGCAAATCTCATCATCAAACATCACCCCCTCAGGTGAGTCTACACACCTGTGAACCCTTTGGAGCCTCACACCAACAGATGGTAGAAACAGAGGCAGCCGCCTCTGGCATTGCTATTTTAACCCAAAATGACCTTCTTCTTTTTTTTTTTAATGTAACACTGCAAATAAACCAGTTCTGAATCTGCTTTGAGTCACATCTAGCTGCTGTCTGCATTTCTGTGTAGTGTTTCTGAATTAAACTGAGTGTGTTTTTCAAAAATAACAAGAACAAAGTATATGGGGGCATATAGGGGGGATTGTACAGCTACCCACTTGCAGACAGATACAACTTATGCCACTTTAATGCTTATTAAATAGAACTTAAACTACTGCCAGGGTGCTGTCAGGATAAATAAACCCGGCTTAAATCCTTCAAAAAGACTTCTGACACATTTTATTTTGTGGCCACACTCTAAATAACAATAAAAATAATTAAGAATAGTAATAAATAAAGATGACACACTTCTCTGTTTACCTTAGGGGATTCCCAGGAAAAACTGTTATTTGAATTCTTTGTTTAAAATGAAAGTGGAGAGATGGGTGCCACCTGTTTTGCAGCAGTTAGCATATTTGTATTTCCAAGTAAATCCAGCCTGTGTCAAATCACTGTGATGATGGTTTTCACACCACAGACCAAAGAAGGCAGCTGCTTCACCCAGGAAAAGAGCAACACCTTGAGCCTGAGAACTGCAGCAGTGAGCAGGAGGCACAGCGCTGATGGAATGATCAGTTCACGGTCAGGGCGAGGGGACGTGGACCGTTTCCACCCGTATCAGCGACAGTTCAGTGACGGAGCAGTGACAGAGTGCCTACAACAGTGCTCTTCTTCCTTTAGCAGTCTGCATGAGGTGTGCAGTCCTGGCAGTCATTCGCACAGCAGCAATATGCCACCATCCTGGGACCAGTACAATGGCAGCATTCAGGTTTCTATCCTTATGATACTCTCATTTTATCCTTCCACATTAATAAAGTTTTGTACAGCCAAAAGCAGCCTGATTGATTTGACACAGGAAGATAGACAGGCAAATAATAAAAAAAAAAAGATCCACCACATCACAGCAGAAAACACTGTCTTGAAAGCTTCTCCAAACATTTTTCCTTCATTTACTTATATTTGCAGAACTCATATCCAGAGCTACCAGGCATACATGTGGATCCTCCCTGTTTTCTATCTCAGAGCTATCCATCCTACAGCTCAGCAAGTCCTCAACAACAGGTGAGTGTCCTGCTTCAGGCACTCAGAAATGCTTTAGAGGACATGACGTTTAGGACACGAGTAATATCTAATATTTGCATTTATGATATGGTGTGCACATTGGACTATAACACATGTAATGGGGTGTATCATATTAGTGGTCAAGTCATGATTTCTTCTCTGTTCTCAAAAGGTCTCTTCTAGACTGTATCCTAACAAGGACCAGTCCAGCACCTCAAAATATAGTCTATCCAGCCAGTCACACCAGGACGACACCACACAGTCCATCTTTCCTAAGCCCATTTACTCATACAGGTAGCTCTGAAGCTAAATCTTTTGTCTACCTTTTTTTACTTACTAATATTTAATACTGTGCGTGCTAGCACAAGCAGGGTAGCTTTTTAAAATATATAATTATAAATAAAATTTTCTTTATTGTGGCAGCATTTTGATTTTCATGGCTCTGAAGAACAGCAAAACAGGAAGTCTCCCAGTCAGCGAGATCTACAGCTTCATGACTGAACACTTCCCATATTTCAAGGTACCACAACGTTATTATTAAATACTTTACTTAAGCATGTTGGCTCACTGAGACCAAGGTTTCTTTTCAAGAGGCATTTGTGTGCTAAAGACATTTTCGTTTTAAGGGTAAACATACAGACACGTGATATAGAAACAAAGCATGTGACATAGTCACTATGACCCAGTGCTTTGAGTTTATTTTGGACTTGTATTTTCTAGTGCATCATAGTTTATTATTTCTAGTTCGTGATTCTTGTTTTGTTACATTAGCTCCCTTTCGTGACCAGTCTGTTTCTAGTCTCGTCTCTGTGTCTTGTCATCAAGATCTCCTGTTGTAGTCTGTCTAGTCTCTGTGGTTTGTCTCCTCAGTCAGTCATATTTCCATGTTTGTTTATTTCCAGTCCCTGTGTCAAATTCATGTGTCTCAATTTTGGTCTCAGTGTTTGTTACTTCCTGTTTTATTTTGATAATCCCTTATTCCTATATGCATTGCATTCAGTTTTGCTTCCTCTGTGTCCTTACTCCAGATTAGTCGCTGCTGTGTTCACAGCTGTCTTCTTGTGTCTGTCCCAGTCTTCCCTTGCTCTTTGTTGTGTTCTTGAGTATACAAGTGTCTCTTGACACTGAACTGACATGTGGGACTTCATTGTAATGGGCTTCCTAAATGTTATTCTGTGTGTTTAATCGAAGTGGAACCATGAGTGTACACTCAAAAAAATCTTTATGCCCAAAATGCTGATTAACAAAGTGATTTGGTTTTTCTTTTTTTCTTTTTTTTTTTTGCAAATTTAAAGTGTAAAAGATTCAATATAATAGATTACCATTAAAACTTGATTGATATGTGTGCAGTTTATACCAAGCATATTTTCCTTAGTGATTAATTAATCAATAGTAGTTTAAATAAATAAACCTTTCAGTACTTCAGAAACGTTGTTAAGGGCAATTTTGTAACAGCTGTTCCAGGATAAAGGACAGAAAAATACAATTGTTAACAAACGTAACAGAAAATAGTTGTAAGACAGTAGCTCATATATTTAAATGGAGCATTTTTCATTATTAAGCGATTTGAAATGTTTTACTGATATTGCAATTTTTTTTCTGGGAACCATGGAAATCACTTCATGGGCTTGGGAACATTTCTGAAAACCCATGCCTCCTTTCCAAAGCTGTTCAGTGGGCTGAACTGGGGACTTTGCTGGGCCATTTCTTATGTTTAACACCCCTGCTATACATTATTTGCTCTCAGTTCTCACGCACGGTATTAATTTACAAATAAAACAGTGATGCACTTTTTTGTTGGAGGGAGGTATACATATCAATGCATTGCATCCTTTTTTTTGGTGAGGAGTTCTAAGTAACAGATTATATTTAGTTAGATTAGATTAGTTACGCTCATAAAATACTCCACATCGAAAGGAGCCAGCTGAGGTGGTTCGGGCATCTGACAAGGATGCCTCCTGGGCGCCTCCTGGATGAGGTGTTCCGGGCATGTCCCACCGGGAGGAAGCCCCGGGGCAGACCCAGGACACGCTGGAGTTATTATATCTCTCGGCTGGCCTGGGAACGCCTTGGTGTTCTCCCGGATAAGCTGGAGGAAGTGGCTGCGGAGAGGGAGGTCTGGGCTTCTCTGCTTAGGCTGCTGCCCCTGCGACCCGGCCCCAGATAAAGCGGAAGAAAATGGATAGATGGATAAAATACTTTTATACTTTTTTAGTGGTTAAAGCCACATTGTGTCAGAGCCGATGTAAAAACAGAGATATATAAATAATTAATTTTTATATAGCAGTTGACAGATGTGATCATGTTAAAAATGAATGCCTTTGTTCATTAATTTTGATAAATGAGGCAGCTGCAGGGTTGGACTTGAACCCTGCAAATGACAAATATTTTACATTTCCAGCCATCTATGAATCAGTTCAATAGGTTCAGAGTAACTTCTGGAGGGAGCTGAAAGGCTTGCTGCCATTCATATTCAAGATGGCTTATAGATGGCTGTTTTCCAAACAGCTGCCTAAAAAAAAAGAATGAAAAAAAAGTTAAACATATACCTCAGGGCTCGAATATACACGAGACAGATGAAGTGATATTTGAAGAAAAGTTGGGTTCACTTTGTAAAAGCTGTTTCTAGATACATCTAAATGCTTCAATCAACACATCATTTATGTGCAGTTCAGTGGACACTTGTTATGGCATGCAGATACCATTTACTGGCAGAGCAGATGGTGGCAATATTAATATACTGTGTGTTGTAATATTCCCTGCAGGGTGGACTGAGTACCCTGATTTTATTAGATGGTTCACAATTAATTTATAGTTGCTCTCAAGATATTTTAACAAGAATGTAACACATGCAGCGGAAGACAATCAGGCAAGTGAGGTCGAGTTTCTTTCAAAGTCATGCTCAAGATGTGGAAAAAAAAACTGTGGAAACTATGGAAAAATGTTCTGTTTGGAATTCTGTACAGGGTGTTCCCCAAAACAATGAATCATAATAACATTCATGAGCCATCAGGAGAATTTGTCCAGTTTGTTTAAAGTCATTTGAGGTGTCCCAGCAGCCAAGTGGTTGACTTAAGAATATCTGCTTGAATTCTTTTAACATAAATGTAAGAACATTTATGTTAAAAGAATTTATCTTTTTCTTCCTGTGTTCAGACGGCTCCTGATGGATGGAAGAACTCGGTGCGGCACAATCTGTCCCTGAATAAGTGCTTTGAGAAGGTGGAGAACAAGAATGGCAGCACCTCTCGTAAAGGCTGCCTGTGGGCGCTCAATCCAGCCAAGGTGGAGAAAATGCAGGAGGAGCTGCACAAGTGGCGCCGGAAAGACCCCATTACTATTCGCAGGAGCATGGCAAAGCCAGGTCAGTCCCGTAGGTATCCAACCTGAGAAATTGCAGAGTAGAAATTAAGGTATACAGAAGATTCTTTTCTACTACTTATTTTGCTTATTTTACTTTTCCTGTAGAAGATCTTGATAGACTACTGGGAGAAAGACCGGAAAGACTCAGGTCTGTGCCACCGAACCCCAAATCAGGCACATTAACCAGAGCGACCCCCGTCTACAACGCCTCCGCTTTTACTTGTACTCCACCTGAGCTTCGCCCAGCATGCCAGCCCATTTGCCAGTCACAGTATGCTTACCTTCAGCCTCAGCAGCCCTTCTACCTCCCCCCTGCTGTCACACACCCCAGCAACTCATTCGCCCTCTTCTCACCCTGTGGACAGCAGCCTGCGGCCGGTATCCCATCATCCACTGGAAGCCTCAACTCACCGGTAGCTGGGAAGATACCACCTGTTTATAACAATGCTCTCCAGTGTGATTACAGTGTTGAGCCCAGGATCACCATGCAGGAGTTTCTGCTGGAGGGAGACACCACTTATGACATTGACATGCTCAACCCCAGTCTGACTGACCTTCAGCTGCAAGGTATGAAAGACAGGGACAATAAGGAGGGAAAATGAGTGCACCAAGATTTGCTTGTGCAAGCTTCAGCAGATATTTATTACTGATACTGACAAACTGGTTTAAAAGCTGATAGGAAAGAAAAGGGAATTTAGGAGCTGTGTCTTAGTTGCATAGTTTGCCCACCAGAGAGCACTGAAGAGTTGATTTTCTTGCTTGGTAGACAAAGCCCATCATAATCTTTTACACAACGTTAGATCAGCCTGCATTTCTGCAGGCTGCTTTAACTGTAAAAATAACAAAAAAGCAAACTGTTGTGTGAGTGTAGCATCCTTGGTAAATAATGATTGGTGTTGCTCTCTAAAACATGACCTGTGGTTCCTTTTTTGCAGGTAACCTGTGGGAGGAGCTGAGAGTCGACAGTCTGGTGGCAGAGCCACAAGTTAGCACAAGCTCGTCCGCTACCTTTGTCCCTCAGAACCACCACATCCAGAGCAGCGGCCTGCACGTCGTGCCTCCCATCAGTCAGACATCAGCTGTGGTTGCCAGCGGTCGTTGTGAAGCGGAGGACGGGGACGAAGGGCAAAATGTGGAGCAGCATGGCTGTTTTAACGGACTAAATCCTGTATTATATTCAGGAGTGGAAAGCTTGGCTGGGTATCTGACCTCCTGCACTGCATCCGTCTCTTTAATGTAAACCTTCGCTCTATGGATTTGATGTACCATGTGAGTCTGAACGAGGAATATAGTTTCAAGCAGTTTCACACTACAGTGTATGATTGGTGGTAATTTAAGGCCAGTGGCGTGTCCAGCGGGGGAGGGCACAGGCCACCCCAGGTGCCACCCCGAAGCTAAAACAATAAAATTCAATGAAATATCAAATGTATGATTATATTTTCATAGTGAAGCTCAGATATCTCAGTGAATGCAGCATCGGCTTCTGCACTATGAGCATCATGTTAGCAAAGGTAGGAGAGCCAAGCACCAAAGACGGCAC